GCGGGGCGCAGGCTCAGCGGCTCCGCGCGCAGCCCGGCGGGCACTAGCGCCAGCGCGGCGGCCAGGTCGGCGCCCAGGTCGGCGGCGGGCGCGGGGCCGGGCGCGGGCGCCGCGGCCTCGTCGGCCTGCAGCGAGTGCCAGGAGCGCAGCTTGAGCCCGAGCTGTGCGTGTCCGACGGCCAGCAGTTCCTCTGCATGCAGCGCCCCGAGCCGCTCCCCGCTCAAGGAGTAGCGCGCCAGTCGCCGAGCACTGACTACTCCGGCTTCTTCGTCTCCCAAGCAGCGTCTCTACTCAATTCAGAAACTATTAAAGCCACTCTTGATGTGCAATGTAAAATAACAAGGTTAAAAAAGTTTAATGGGTAACCTTGATATTGTGAAATATAATTTGTTAAAACCTTACAGCCATTATAATTTGTGTATCCATTAATATTGTACCTTTATTTTCCTGAACACATCTCCAGAAATACTTTCATAGAGTACATCACAGGAGCCCGACACGTCTGTCTCATTATGTTCTCCGCTCAACATTTGAAACTGAAATTATACAACACATAAGTGTCACACTAATGAAGAGATAGTTCATTATTACTGTATATAATTTGTGCAAGCCTAGAATAGACTAAGTATTTCTTTCTTTCTAATACCTGAAACAGACTAATTATTGCTTTCTGGTAATTGGCCACATCTGTTAACTCATCAGGGTTGAGATAAGCTTCTTTGATCAATCCGTGGCTCCAGTGTGCATAGAAGGTGGTGTCCCCGACAGAGTCCCACACCGAGTCGTATGGCATGAAGTCGGCATTCACGTTCTTGCCTCTGAGATACAGCTTGGGAGAGAGCAACTGCAAACAAACAAAACGATCGAACAAGATGCACGGACAGATGGGGCCGGGACAGCTCGGCGCATGCGCACCTGGAACTCCAGCAAGTACTCGGACGAATCGCGCGCCCAGCGCGGGCGCAGTAGCAGGCGCGCGCGCAGCTTGTAGCCGACCTCCTTGCTGGCGCGCGCCGCGTCGTTGAGCTGCAGCGTGGTCTCCAGCCGGAAGGCGGCCGCCGCGCCCAGCGCGCGCCACGGCCGCGGCTCGGGCTGCAGCCCCTGCAGCCCCGCCAGCCCCGGCAGCCCCGCCAGCCCCACCAGCGCACACAACACTACCGCGCGCCACACGCCGACGCCCATTGTACGTTGTTGTCGCCACTTATTTTCTACGATGTTCTTGAAGTTCCTGTACGAACATGTCAGACTGGCGCTTAATAAACTCTCTCGTCGTTATCGTATCTCGAACTCTCGAACTTCATATCGAGTAAAACGACCGGTATATGCGGAAACTTGATGTCATTGTCAAAGTCAAATTACTTTAACTTATCAGGATCAGGGTATCATGGAATGTCAAGATGGCACGTCACTAGTGACAGATGACAGAAACAGAAATGTCAATTGTCAACTTGTCAAGTCACGCAAAGACTAAATATTTCTTTCATTGATGATGATGACATGAGTCAACCACAGACAGAATAGATAAGGGTCTGTTTATCTGTCTGTCTGTCTGTCACCATTCCTTTGTGAAGCCATAAACACACATGCGCAATTTTTAGCTTAAACAGGGCCGGACTGGGGTCGGCATTAGAAATAAAAGATTTCTAATACCGATCTTAGACCTTAGACCTTAGTGCCGACATTATTAGGTACCTACATAGAGATAAGCATGTTTTTGGGATAAATAGTTAATATTTATAAGTACTGAATTAATACTCATTTTTACTATAATTTTTATGTATAGGAATGAATGACAATAAAACGCTCTTTTTCACGACGCCGCAACGCCGTAACGCAAACTGCCGATTTTAGCGTTGCGGCGGACCTAACGGGTAACCGGGGCTCCGACTCGACGTGCAGGAGAAGGAACGGGGTGGTTTTTAGTCAGTAAGAGTCTGACACTCCCTCCCGCCTCACCCAGGCGGGAGCAGTCATTGATGATTTTCCCCCCATAAAAAAAAAAATCGGTTTTAAACGTAACAACTGAGCGGGCGACACAGTGTGACAAATACAAAAATACGACTTAGAAGACACCCCACTACTTAACTGTTTTGTGTTTAGTGCTTTGATTTGTGTTATTCAATCTTCTATAAACTTGTAAAACGCCCAAAACTTTGGTTTATTTTATAATTCCGGAGGTTTTGTTTTTAGAACTATTCCTCACTTGTCCCGCTTTGGCACAGAAAATAAATGGTCACGTTATGTATACACCCTGTGCCAGTCTTTAGACTCTTGTTGCTACAATTCTTTATTTTTTCGTCTTTATGTATATTTGCTTACGTTATCCTGAATTCAGTATTATGGAATCATAGTGATTGAAGTATCTGTAAGTATAGGACTATACATAGGTACTATATTTATTATTTTTAGAGTACAATAATTGGCCAGAAACATTTTAGTATAGGTTAGTCGCCATATCCGTATCTAATCCACGCGAACAAAGCCGCGGGCATCAGCTAGTCTATAGTCAATTAAATAATATGTATCTTGCAACTTACCTCCTGCCTTCGGCTTCCACAAGATGACAGGGCGATGTGTTGTACCTATCTTCAAGTCTAACTGTTCTACTGTATAGCGACTGCGCCAAATGTGGTAAACATGTAATTATGTGACACGACTCAAACTAAACTATGTTTAGCTCAATGAACTAAAAGAAATATCTGATATTAATTAGGTAGGTAAACAACATTTAGATAATTTCGAATAATTCGTTCGTACACAATTATGAAGTACCTAGTTATGTATAAAATACAAAATGTGTATGTTTGTTTGTCCGTCTTCTTCATTCTAATTCGAAATTCCTTTTTTCGAAAACAAACACAAAACTATCGACGCTGTCTTTGTCCCCATTCTTGTGAGTAGCTGGAAAGCGTAGGGATTCGTAGTGCAGTGGTTGACCTAGGTATTTAGTAGTTGTCTTCTAGGGTGGAAGCAAAAATTACGTAAGTAGACAAGGATCGCTATGTTTTGGGGTTCCGTAGAGACGTGTATTAGGACCGACTGTATTCCTCATATGTAAATGAGCTGTGTCAGCTTCATCTACCAAATTGCTAAATTATTATTGATGCAGATAACACATCTCTAATAATTGATGGTCGTGACTAAAGAATTCTTCAAAATCGTAAGCTAACCCTAAATGCTTTAAGTGCAGTCTTGCATGAAATGGTTAACAAAAATGAACTCTATGTTATGTCTAATGTTAATAAAACCATGTTTATAGAAGATTTGGACTAGCCCCCTGGCCATTTCCATAAAATGGTGTGTGTGTGTGTGTGTGTTTATAAAGACGAATATCTAAAGGTATCTCGGTACTGTTTGTGAGTAACAACAAATAGTGCATCATGGTTTTATAAATCTGCCGCCAATCCCTTAGAGGGCGAACGAATCCGTAGACAAAAGCTAGTAATGGAATAAATTAGCAAGAAAACAAAAACAAACTTCCCAATTAACATAACGAGGTGATTTGTAATGAGTTTAAACAATAACTATCACGAAGCGCTTCGCGTCAAGCTTCCTTGTGCGTACTGCTAAGGAGTGTGTGTCTTCAAAGCCCGAGTGAATTGATGTTACTCATGGGACAAGGTGCTCCATCAGTCCATCGTAGGCCGCATCATCGCTTGCCACCAGGCGACATAGTGGTCAGACATCTGCCCATCAAATATAAAAAGAATCTTTACTTACTCATAATAAATCTGTAGAGAGGTACAATTCCTTACGCGATTCGCGAAACTCTGCAAATAAATTCTGCCGTCTTGGACTATTGTAATGTGTCGGGAAAGAAGCCAGGTGTGCAATGTAGCACGAGAAGGGATTTCTTGCCACCAGTGACTCCAAAAACATTAATATATACTTGTGATATTTGTAATTATAACATTAAAATTATGACGTTTGTAGACAAAAACGACATTATCACTAGCAGAAGAATAGTAATTACATTGCTTGCAATAGATGCGTACCATTTTGTACTACATAAACGATCGCGCAATGTATTACGTTAAGTCCCGAGTACCAAGTCAAAACTTCATTTCGTCAAATCGATATAGAGATGTGTCAATTTGTGAACAATGTCGATAGTCGATAGTTACTATGATACAAAGGATTGTTATCAAATTATACACATTATAACTAAAATATTATTTACTAGCTGTGCCTGCGACTTCGTTCGCGTGGTTGTCGAAAACAAAACTCAATGAAAGTAAATTTAAAACATATTTTATATTAAGCGCGAATTATGTAATCAAGCTTACATACTACACACTGACAGATTATCTTGAAGATAAGAATGCTTGGCAGCATGTTGGTTCGTGTCCCTTCGTCCAGCATACTCACCATGGAATCCTGATATTTCATGAATGTCAAAAAACTGTTCTGAAATAGTGCTAAATAGTGCCCAAAGGAAAAAAATAGTGCTCTTGTACTTGCGAAGTTATAGCCATAGTTCGATGAGTATGCTGGACGAAGGTTTCGCCCAGCATACTCACCTCCGTCCGGAGAATCTGTATACGCTTCAAACATAATTCATACTTCAAAAAATAGTTCCCAAATAGTGCCAAACGGTGCCCAAAAAGAAAAAACAGTGCTCGAATAACTTCGGAGTTATAGGCTTCGTTCAGTGAGTATGCTGGGCGTAGGTTCTACGCCCAGCATACTCACCTCAGTGCGCGAATATCGAACGAGCTATAGGTACAATTTACGTCTCAAAAAATTGTGCTTGAAATAGTGCCCAATATCAGTCCAATTTTTGCTTGACTTTTGACCTAGAAAACCATTAAATTTGATTGTAAACTTCTACATACATTACATTGAGTACAGTCGAATACAATATTATTAACTTTCTTTCTAACAATTTTTGTCTTGTGTAAATTATTAATTGTCTATGTAAGGGAGTATTTACTTTAGAATCGCAATATTATTAATTACACATTATTTTAATAATACTTTATAATAATATGATTAAGCCTTCGCGCGTCGCATGGGACCCCGGTAGCTAGGAACAATGATTTTATATATTTTGTCTAGATCACGGCGCTTGAAGGATTAAGATATCAAATGAAGTAAATCATGCATGAAAAATAAAGTTGCTGTTATTAATGCTTACATTACAACTGACAAAATTATTCAAAATAATCATTTTCCGGATCAAGGACGGTACCACAACGTTTACGGAATTGACCTGTATTCCTCATGTGATAAAGTTCAATATAGTGTGGCAGTAATGGATGCACGTACGGTCAATAGGTATGGGGCTTACGACGCGCGGCGCCCGCGACGCAAATGAATATGTTTATGTTTAAATACTAGATGGCGCTGCCCTAACATCTTACGATTATTAGACAAGACTGATCTGTATTTTGAAGGTGATAAGGGTCCATTTTGTGTCACAAAGCAATCGAAACGAACAAGCGCTTCTCAGTTTCTTTGTTTGTTTACTTCGTCGCACATCATTATAATAACGCCGGCTTTTGAGTT